ATAACAAAACCCTTAAAACAAAAACTTACAACCAAATAAAAACCCCAAACAAAATTCTAAAACAAAACAAAAATACAGAACAAAAACCCATAACAAAGCAAAACAAAACTTAAATGTTAGGATATTTTAGTAAACCAGTATAATTTGTTACAGTGAACCACCTACCTACTTTAGATGGATTAAGAAGGAAAAAACGTAAAACTTATTCAAAATAGCACAAAATAAAACCCAACCCTTACACTATCCTGAAACAAAACAAAACAATTTAAAATCAAGATATTTTTGCAAAACTGCTTAATTTACTATAGTGAACATCCTGCTTAAGATTTTTTTACTCAAGAAGGTAGAATCATGACAATGTAAATTTTAATTAATTGCAAATGTAATTAAATGTAAATTTTATGTGCAATTTTAAGGTTATATAGGCAAAACATTTTTATTATGTTTGGATTAACCAATAAATTACGAAGTGTCTCAAAAGCTGACCTACGATTAACCCAGCACTATGAACATGTCATCAAAATTGGTGCCATCATAGAACATTTCACGAATAATCCTAATTTTCCCCATTAACTGAAACAAGTGGTAATAACAAGGTATATTACATAATCAGAGCATTCATTGTGATTTGATTAATGCAAAGGGGAGGAGCCAAGTATCAAGATTAACCTCAGAATAGCAGTCTAGGAATTTAGCTGCAATGGTGAATTCCTGCAGAAAAAGGTCTCATGCACTTTGGAAGAAGCAAAGAATGGGAGTGAACAAGAAGGAATGCACAAATCTATTGCCAGAGATTGAACTAACCTCTGATATTGCCTTCGAAAACAGATCAGTTTTATTGACACTGATAGACTGGATGCCTTTCACTTTAATTAATTAGATATGCAACAGATCAAGATCAGATCAAGCAATAGGATTCAGTCTAAAGAATGCCTGACATCATCCAGAGCTCGTGGCAGCGCTGGACAAAGTCTGATTTAACCACTACTTCCTATCGAACAACTGGCCTTTATGTGCACTTCCAAAATCAGTTTGACCCAAATCTCGACTCTCATGCACCATTCCTCATTTGCATACTATTCATGTGTGTAAATAACGAACAAAAGGGTGTGTGGCTAAAGACTCAGACTTATAACATTTTAGCATGTCCCAGTATCTGACCTGCTCTTTCATTTTGACCCAGAAACACATTTTTAATTACACGCACTTAATGAATATCAAATTTAAAAATAAATAAAAGCAAATAAATATGCATGAGACATAAGTCGTACTGTATATTTCAACATACCCTCTGATGTTCATTCATATTGTTTTTGTATAATAATAATAATAATAATAATAATAATAATAATAATAAAAGTTTCATTTGTTTGCGTATGCATTCATATTGTCTTTGTATAGTAAGACAAAGTGGTGTAGTAACTGGAAGTGCTGCCAGTGCAGGCCACAGCAATCTGTCACACCGAATTAAAGAGAAGAAAATGTTTATTGTTCGAATTTTGTAATATAAAATGACATAACTCAAAACTGAGACTTTATCAAAGATATACATATTTATATAAAACACAAACAGAAGGATATTTTTGCTTATAATTGCATTTCTTCACAAGTAGTATTATTTATATGCTATTATAGCATTTATTACTATTGTGAATTAGCTTTTATTTGTATATTTTTACTTTTAGTAATTTTGTTATGTGCTTTTGTAATTTTTATTAGTTTGTTTGCAATATTTCTATAATATTTTTTTATTTCCATTTTAGTTTTAATCAGTGTAGTACTTCAGTTGCCAAGCCAACATTTTTACGTTTTTTAAGTTTAAGATTTTAATGTAATATTTATATTTTATATCAGCTTTATTTCAACTAACAAAAATAAATGTTCATAGTTTTATTCTTAGTTAACAACAACAACAACCTTGCAAACAAATTGTGACTGATCGCGAAATGATCGCATCACATACTGTCTAAGAACACACTCAAAAGTATGTACCTAGTACATACTAAGGTGAATTAGGACACAGCATGCCATGGGGCAAAGTGTTCCAAGCAAAACTGATCTCCTGCCAGCTGTAACAGCCAGTTTTATGTATACTGAAACCAGTTTCATGGCAAAGTAGGTCAAAAGGGCAAATTCAGGGCATTTCTGGTTAATCAAGAGAGAACAGACAGAGAAATGGACGGATGGATGGATATGTCAGCTGTGTGCACTGAAGTGTTAACCCTAATGGTTCCTCTTACACCTGCTCATGGAACACAACACCTGTTACACTCCGGTGTGGTGGCCATAAACACATGCTAATGGGAAGGAATGAGTGTGTGTGCGTCTAGTTAAATATGGCCATGTGCTTCATTGCACAATGATACATGCACAAGCCTAAACCACCAGCTGGTGTAATACTCATTAACACAGAACACTTTCATGAGCAGGTATAAATGTTTATAAGACAGTTAGGCACTTTTTACGAACCTTTTAGTGGCAAGCGAAGGTGTAAAATAATAACTGATAACTGGCGGCCGATCAAAAGAGTCATGAGTCAGTGGAATTTTTTCCTTTTAATTTTTTTAAATATATATATATATATTAATGTGAATGCCTCTCTTCCGAAAACAGATAGAAAATCTATTCTATATGAGAGTTATTATTGTTAACTAAAACCATACAAAAAAAAAAAAAAAAAAAAAAAAAAACAATAACTATATATACAGTACATATAACCAATGATACTAAAATATAATACTGCTCTATATACAAAAAAAAAACCTCTATGGGGACTCGCAGCCTGTTGCAACAAACCACTAACATTAAGAAAGCCCTTAGATAATACCCTTACAATTATAACTTATTTTGAGAAACAAAATCTGTCTGCTTATAAGGACCTCATCAACTTTCGTTTGCTGGACTATGTTAGTCAGTGTTGATTGTGGGTATGGACGGGTTGGAGTGGGTAATGTCTAGATGTGAATCCAGCGGTCTATCCACAGCCATGATGTCATCACATTACAGACTCAATATTGACCCTGCTTAGATAACGTCTCATAGCGTAACATTTAAGAGCATGTAAGAGGGCTGGCGGTACAGTGTGGTCTGCAGAGAGAAACTTAAAATAAACTTAACCCTATAAAGCCTACTGTATCATATTTGATATGAACATTACTGGATTGAAGCAACTTAGGTCTCGATTATCCATGCATCCTTTTTTTTTTAGTATCAATGCGAGTATGATACATCAAGCCTTTGCGGAATGTACACCTCTGAATCATCACTGTACTGCATTGCATTATGTTTTTCCCCACACAATAAAAACTACAAAGACTTTGATCATAAAACTTAGCATTTTAATATAATCTTACTAAGACATAATATTGGGAGATACAGAGTGACAACTGATATTTATATGCATTTTAAATAGTCTGCTATATTGTTATAAACAGTGTTGGGTGTGACGCATTACAAGTAATGTCAGTTACGTAATCAGATTACTTGTTTCAGTAAAGTAAACCAGTAAAGTAATGGATTACTTTTTTATTTACAAGAAAATATCTGACTTACTTTTTTGAATAAGTATCGCAAGTTGCTTTGTTTTCCCATTTATTGACTGGCAGCTCTCCTGTCCTCATGTTGGGAGAAATTGGGAGTAAATGCAGAGGCGTTGTGTGCGCTGTGTAAACATGATGCTTGCTCTAGTTCTAGACTAAATGTAAACGTGCATTTCCTTATCTCACTTGCTGGAACAGATTTTGTATTCCTCAAAATGAATAAAAACAGTGAAACGCTAACTTACAATATGACGCAAACCTGCAATAATTAAATGTTAAACAACACAGATATACTTTAGGTAATCAATCCCATTTTATTAACCAAAAGTCTTTGCTGCTGACATTCGATAATCCAGTTCAACCATACTAATAAGCAAAAATGACTTTAGATAAACATAAAATTATTTCATTTTTGGAGTGAAAGGGCTTTGACATTTGCCAAAAATATAACTTAAAAAACAAACAAACAAACAAACAAGCAACCCCAGCCCAGATGAGAAAAGGTAATGTAAAAACAGTGCTAAAGTAACGCAGTGCAGTATTTTCCATAAAAAGTAACTAAGCAACATAATTAGTTACTTTTTTATGGAGTAACGCAATATTGTAATTCACTGATTATAAAGATTTATTGATTTGCGTTACAAGCTATCAGAATTTCATCTTACATTTTGGCCATATAAATATCATCACCTGCACCAAATTGCGTAATTTCTGGTTAGTTTGGGCCTCTAAATAATATTGAGGTGTTTCTTCTTCCTCCTTAACTATGAACTCCATATTCTCACTATATCATATACAGGTGCATCTAAATTAGAATGTCGTGGAAAAGTTCATTTATTTCAGTAATTCAACTCAAATTGTGAAAATTGTGTAATGTGTGGTGGCTCTTGTCTTGATGCCTTGAACCAAGCCTCAGTCCATTCCTTGTGAAGTTCACTCAAATTCTTGAATCCATTTTGCTTGGCAATCCTCAAAATGCTCTGTGAACAGCCAGCTTCTTTGCCAATGAATGTTTGTAGCTTACCCTCCTTGTGAAGGGTGTCAATGATTGTCTTCTGGACAACTGTCAGATCAGCAGTCGTCCCCATGATTGTGTAGCCTAGTGAACCAAACTGAGAGACCATTTTGTAGGCTCAGGAAACCTTTGCAGGTGTTTTGAGGTGATTAGCTGATTGGCATGTCACCATATTCTAATTTGTTGAATTGGTGGGTTTTTGTTAAATGTGAGCCAAAATCATCACAATTAAAAGAACCAAAGACTTAAACTACTTCAGTCTGTGTGCATTGAATTTATTTAATACACGAGTTTCACAATTTGAGTTGAATTACTGAAATAAATTAACTTTTCCACGACATTCTAATTTATTGAGATGCACCTGTACATCAAATGTTCCATAAAATGTACCAAAAAAATAAAATAAATAAATAAATAAATTCTGACTATTATTTCACAAGTCAGTCCTTTCAGGGTTTAATGTACCTATTACTCAACTGCACTTGAGGGTTTGACAAATCAAATGCTTTTGAAACCTACCTAGACTGACCCTGCACTGTCTACACACAAAATGTTGCCAGTTCAGATGGTGTGTTGCCAGTTTAGATGCTGTGTGATATCCAAAATGGGTTTCCGTGCCTCCCACAAATGTGATCTTGGTTAAAAATAGTCATCTATATTTATAACCCATTTCACAGTACACCACACCACAGAGTCACACTTGTACTTCACTTGACTTTGCTTTTCGCTAGCTGAAAGCCTCAAGCTGAATGCGAGGCATGTGAGGGGCATCTTGGCTGCGGGCACCGCAGGGAGAGTGCCTTTAATGCGGCCATGTGACACGCTCAAAATATTCCACCAGATGAGAGGCCATGTAGCCCCCAGCGACTCTCACACACACTGAGTTCACTGTAGTCTCCTCGCATCCTAATGGTTTTTATCTGTCGCCCTGCACTTCTGCTAGGCCTTACTATTCTGTCTGCTTCCATTTGAGAACTGGTACAAACTTCTATTAATAGTCCAAGAGTAATACTGCCTTTTTTCTCTACTGTTTTTCAGTGTTTTGCTAAATTTAGTTGACGAATGAGCACTGGCAGGCGTTTTGTCGGCAATTAAATGATGGCGTGACTGCCCATTGGGCCGCTGACATGAAAGCACCATTGTCTGAGAGAATGCCTTCGACTTTCTTCCCATTGGTTGACTTCTCCACTGGGTGGCCACAAAATTTCATTTAACTATCTCTTTCAAAAGAGGCTGAGTGGGAAAAAACTGAAAGACACACAAGCCTGTGAACTTTTAAGTATATTTTAATGCAGTTTGTGATTTAAAGAGAAGAAAGACAGAACTGTTTCTGCTTACAGACTGGCGTTGAGTCACATCAGGCCTCTGTGGCCATGAAAGAAAAAGCCCCTGTGTATGTAATGTAATGACTGTATGTATATTTGAGTGTATATGAATATTATGTGTGGCAATGAAATTGTCTATAGTTTGCTTCCCTGGGCCTGCTAGTGGAGATCTCCCTTCACATGGGGAGGAAAAATAAATGGGTTTTTTCCTCAGTGTGAGCTGTCCTCTCCTCTCCTCTGGCAAACAACAGTGTCCACATAGCAACAATTGAGAAATCTAGACAGATATGTTTCATGATACACACTGTCACTGGAGTGCCTTTGTTTCACATAATTAACAATTAACAGTGATAAACCCCTCCCCATTACCAGACAAGTATTTGAACATGGTCTTGCGGCCAGAATCCAGTGTCAGTCCCAGAACATTGAGTGTGTTGGATGTCACATCCTTGCTTGTCACAGGGTGTGTGAGGCACATTTCAGGACAGCAGGGTTTGTACCTGCTGTGGGGATCTGTGCAGGACTAAATCTGCTTCTTTATAGCCGTTTGTAGGGTTGGTGACACCTTTGTACACCTCTCCATACGCATGACACACCAGCTCTGTGGACTGTTTGAAGATCTGATCCCTGTGAGAGAGAGAGAGAGAGAGAGAGACTTATTTTGAATACTTTGTTAAATTTACACATTCAATTTGAGTTAACTCATTACATTAAACAATAGTTATAGTTTACATTACAGTGCTCATCACAATGTTGACATCAATGTAATTAAATAAAATGGACAAACACCATGAATTTATTGTAAGTGACTACACTTTCATGTATCATGTTAGACAGACACTACAAGGTAAAGTGTTTCCCAAACAATAAAATGAGGAGCCATTGAAAACTATTGCATGATTACATGATTGGTAAATAAACCAGTCAAGGTTAACCTGACAACTACATTTTACATTTTGTGACTGAACAAACCAAGCAAATCAAAACAACTTCATAGATAAATTACTCCAGGAACACTTCGGTAGCCATAACTTGGTACTGTTTTGGTTTTTGAGGGTACTTCTGTTGATCTGGGTTCTTGGAAACACATCACACATGAATCAGCCTAATTGAAAACTACATAAACTGGTCTGAATATTGCTGGCTGGGTGAGTAAAGCCAGTAGAGCCACACAAAACACTGATCTGGGTTCAGTTCAGGACTACTGTAACACTGACCTCTACAGATGCACTTCTGCCAGTACAGCTACAAATATTTATATACTGCAGTCTTAAGGGTAAATAAGCAATTTATATGCATGTGAACCTTTATCTCATACATAAATACAGTCATGGCCAAAAGTTCTGGCAGTGACATTTTGTGTTTTGCAAAGTTTGCTGCTTCAGTATTTGTAGATTATTTTTCCACATTTCTATGGTATACTAAAAAACAATGATAAGCATATCATAAGTTTTAAAGGCTTTTATTGGCAAAAATAATATACCAAGTCAATATTTACAGTGTTGACCCTTGTTCTTCATAACCTCTGCAATTCACTCTGGCATGCTGGATATTAGCTTCTGGGCCAGATCCTGACTGATGGTGATCCATTCTTGCCTTATTAAATCTCGGAGTTGATCACAATTTGTGGGCTTCTGCTTGTCCACTCGCCTTTTGAGGACTGACCACAGGTTCTCTATGGGATTGAGATCCGGGGAGTTGCCTGTACGGATCCAAATTTTCAATGTAATGATCTTCGAGCCACTTCTTTATCACTCTTGCTTTGTGACGTGGTGCTCCATCATGCAGGAAAATGCACGGATCATCACCAAATTGCTCATGGATCATTGGAAGAAGTCGCTCTTGCAGGACGTTTTGATACCATTCCTTATTCATGGCAGTGTTTTTGACCAGAATTATGAGAGAGCCCACTCCCTTGGTTGAAAAGCCACCCCACACATGGATGGTCTCAGGATGCTTCACTGTTGGCACAACACAGGACTCATGGTAGCGTTCCCCTTTTCTTCTTCGAACAATCGATTTTCCAGATGTCCCAAACAGTCGGAAGGGAGCTTCATCAGTGAAAATAACTTTGCACCAGTCTTCTGCTGTCCAATCCTTGTACTTCCAGCAGAATTTCAGTCTGTCCTTGACATTTTTCTTGGAGAGAAGTGACTTCTTTTGCTGCCCTTCTTGACACCAGGCTGTTGTCCAAAAGTATTCGCCTCACTGTGCATGCAGATGCTCTCACACCAACCTGCTGCCATTCCTGAGCAAGCTCTGCACTGGTGGTGACACGATTCTGTAGCTAACTCCTCAGGAGGAGACGGTTCTGCCACTTGCTGGACACTCTGGGACATCCTGAAGGCCATTTTGATGCAAAGCGATGATGGCTGCATGTGTTATTTTGGAGGTAACCATTGCTAACAAGAACACAATGATTGGAAGCGCTTCTTCCCTCCTTTTATAGCAATCAGTCTGCTCTTACAATCTAATTAGTATGATAGTGATTTTACCTGACTAGTACTCATTCACACTTTCATATATGCTGCTGATATGATTAGTCAATTAATGTTAGCTGGTCATTTTGTGTCAGGATAAAAAAAACTGTGAAAACTGTGATTTTTGGCCAATGAAGCTTTTAGCAATTATTTAAAATGCATCTGATCCCTCTACACAATGTGAATGAACACCACAACAGCTTAAGCTGCAAACTTTGCAAAATAAAATTTATGTCACTGCCAAAACTTTTGGCCATGACTGTAGGCCTCATATCAAATTAAGGCTTGACCTTAAGTTCACTAAAAAATAAAATATTATGTAATTTACTCACTCTCATGTTGTACTAAACGCATAGACTTTTTTTCATTCTGTGAAACACAAAATGCTGCTTTCTTCCATGTGATAACAATGAAAGGGACTGCAAGCTTCATAAAGAATGCAAAAACACCATAAAAGTATCATCAATTTATTTCATCTATCACTCTGCAGTATATTGCTATGTTTCTTCAGAAGCCATTTGGGTTTATGTAAGAAATAGATGCAAGTTGTTATTCACTGATAATCTTTGATTCTAGGGAGCTGTTAATCAGTGAGAAACTGGATCAAGTTCAAATTCATGAACAAATCATTCAGAACAGTTTTGTGAATTGGACAAAAAACAACTCACATCTGACCCAAAATAACAATTCCTACATGAATCAGACAGGCAAACCTGGGTGGATATCAAAATTTTCAGTGAAATCTACTTCATAAAATTTTTCAAAGAAACAAGGCTGATTATACATTTGGTTGATCCCTTCAACATGAAGTGTAAAGAAAAAAATATGTGCGCAAATGGATCCATCTCTATTTAGCTTGTCTTTGTATGTCATGCAGAGTTCAGTCACGTGCGGCGTGTTTATGTGTAGGAGAGATAGCTAGAAAGAGAGAGAGAAATGGACCAGGAGCTAATTAGTTGTGCCAAGCCTGTGTCCATCTCCATTAATAGAGAACATTAACCTGAGGTACAGTGAGTGCTCCTCAAGCCTGTTACATTTCCCAGTAACAATGTGACTCAGTGTATGCGCCTCTCTACCGCTCAAAAAGCAACATCACACTGATGGGCTGATGCTAAAAGCACCAACTGCAAGGAAGAGGGGGAAACAAGAACCATGACAAACATATTTGTTAATGCAATGGCGGCCGGATTGATTTTATGGGCCAAAACCATTATTTGTTTAGGTTGGATGTGACTGAGTAGTAAGATATTGCGCTAAATGGTAGCAAGTAAACAAATGTGTGACAAAAATTGAAACAAGAACTGAAATGGTGAGTTAAATTGTATACGAGGAGTGAAAATGTGATGTGTACTTTTACAAAATAAAATACAATGTTTAAAGGGGCGATATTCCACACTAGCAACAGACTGAACTGGTCAATTAATAATACACATTTTCTGTTTAAACATTTTTGCTGACTTTTAAGGGAATACATGTAATATGTTTAAAAAAAAAAGTTTTTTTTTTCTTTTTGCGCTTAAAATTCCCTTTTGCACTTAAGGTGAACTTAAAATCTAAGTGTGAAATACCATTAAATATACTATTTTCATTGTTCATTTACATTACCATTCAAATGTTTGGGGTTGGTAAAGATTTTTCAATGTTTCTGAAATAAGTCTCTTATTTAATCAGAAATACAGTAAAAACAGCAATAATGGGAAATATTATTACAATTTAGTTGTTTTTGGTTTTAATACATTTTGAAATCTCATTTATTCCTGTCATTGCAAAGCTGAATTTTCAGTAGCCATTACTCCAGTCTTCAGTGTCACATGACCCTTCAGAAATTATTCTAATATGGTGATTTGGTAGTCAAGAAATATTCTGAAAACAATATGCTAAAAACAGTGTGTTCAAAATGACAGCATTTATCTGACAAATATTTTACAACGTTATAAGTGTCTTTTCTGTCACTGTTTCACTTTAATACTAAATAAGATAATTGATTTCTTAAAAACAATCTTATTGACCCCAAATCTTTGAACTGCTGTGTATGTTGAAATATTATTGTAAAGTGTTACGAATAGTTTTCATACATTTTATACCTTTTCACACTTAAAATTAAACATGCTGCACTTATTTTATTTTTATTGTTTGTCAATTTTATAGCGTAATAGCCCCAATCCTACTTTACTCTCATTGTATGGAGGAGAGCAGCTTAGAGATTCTGTTCAACAACTACTTTGGTTTCATCTTCAATGCCCATCTTCAAAGAAAAGTCATATGGGTTTGGATTGACACGATAGTGATTTAATGATTGGAATTAAGATTGGAATTTGGATGTGATTTAAACATGAAAGTTAAATTTTTTGGTGAACTTTTCATTTTAAAGGCTCCTGAACTCGTTGTTTATAAAAGAGGAAAAGTGTGTAATTGTAATATTTTGAAACAAAATGCTTCATGTCTTTTGCGAGAATTATTCATGTATTATAGACAAAATGTGTGTGGTAAAAGCAAGCTGACTCATACTTGATAGCAGCACTGAGCAGGAAGTTGAGTTGTGGCATCACAAGTGTATCAGGAGAGGCCAAATAACGGTCAAACTGGACCTGTGAGTAAAACAGATAAACACACTGCTAGACAAAACAAGAATGCGAAGAAAAGACTTGATAAAACTATAAGTACTATTCAGAAGGCATTTGTTTTGTTGATTTACAATTATTAACAAAAGACGATTGTGATTTCATCTAAAAATTCATGTGAAATGTGATTTCACCTAGAATGTTGGTAAAAAAATTCTGAGACCGCAAATGGACCAAAATCAGTTAGCTGGAAAAAAAAAAAAACACTAGGTAATTTGTTTTGCAGGTTGTGCAAAGAAAACACGTTTTCAGTTCAGACCAGATTAAACATCACAAAATACATCTGAAAACGTGAATTTATCTGACCTCCTGAAGGAAAAGTATTCATATTCGAGTAAAGCTTAATAAAGAAACAGGTCTCACCATGGCTGTTTTTAAGGATGTGCAGTCCATTCCAGGGAGGTTGGCCAAGGGACCCTAAGAGGGAGAACACAGCAAACCATGAGTGAAGGATGCACAACTACTTTCCTTCAGCTCTGTGAACTGAGACAGCCTGCGGCACAGACATAACAAACAAAGGAAGAGAAGGAATAGGTGCAACAGCTTGAAAACACATGAAGTGTGAGATTTCACATTTTAACCAAATTCATAGTTGCTATGTGACACTGTTGAAGAGACAAAAAAATATATATCTCAAAGATTAATAGGAGAGAAAAAGAACAACAAAAAAGGCTAAGAGAAGTACAGAACGTTTCCCAAATGTCCACTTGACCATCTATTGTACAGTATGCAACAGTTTAACACTGAGGATACAGCACATCCTTGTGTTGCATTATAAATTGAGTTGAGACATTTTGTAATGCAGCAAATACTAACTCTAGCTTGCATACCAAGAAATGTTTATGCTCACATTCTTGCACATACTTATACTGTGTTATATGAATTATATCAGTCGCTACAAACCATGCCATCACATTTATTATTAATCAGTGAAATTTCACATCATTACATCATTTCATTAGAAATCAGAGCAATCTGGAATTTCATGTACAGTGCCTTGCGAAAGTATTCATACCCCTTCATTTTTTTCACGTTTTGTTATGTTGCTGCCTTATGTTAAACTGCTTAAATTTAAAAAATGTTCCCCCTACATCAATCTACACTCCATACACCATACTGACAAAGCAAAAACAGAATTGTCACAACTTCGTAAATTAAGTAAAATAAAAAAAATTAAATAAGTACATTGCATAAGTATTCATACCCTTAACTAAATATTTTGCTGAAGCACCTTTAAAGCCTCAAGTCCTTATTTTTTTTGTTTGATGCGACAAGCTTTGCTCATCAGCATTTGCCAATTAACTTCCATTTTTCACCTCACCTCTTCACCTCTCAAGCATTGTCAGGTTGGATGGGGGCAGATGCACATTTTCAGGTTTCTCCAGAAATATTTGATTGGGTTCAAGCTCAGGCTCTGTCTGGGCAAGTCAAGGACATTCACAGAGTTGTCTATAAGCCACTCTTGCTGTATGCATAGGTCCATTGTCCTGTTGGAAGGTAAACCTTCTGCCCAGTCTGAGGTTCTGAATGCTCTGGACTAGCTTTTTATTAAGGCTATCTCAATATTTTGGTGCATTGAGCTTTTCTTCTATTCTGACGAGTTCCTCAGTCCCTGCTGCTGAAAAACAGTCCCACAGCATGAGGCTGCTACCAGCACACTTTACTTTTGGGATGGTACTCTGCAGGTGATGAGCAGAGTTGGTTTCCTTCAAACATGATGCTTGGAATTGAGGTTTATCAGACCAGAGAATATTATTTCTCGCAGTCTGAGGGTTCTTTATTTGTTTTTTTGCAAATGCTAAGTGTGTTTTCATGTGTCTACACTGAAGAGAGGATTGAGTCTTGCCACTCCGCCATAAAGCCCAAATCGATGGAGTGTTGCAGTGGTGTTGGTCTTTCTGTAGTTTTCTCCTATTTCCACATACAGTGGGGCAAAAAAGTATTTAGTCAGCCACCAATTGTGCAAGTTCTCCCACTTAAAAAGATGAGAGAGGCCTGTAATTTTCATCATAGGTATACCTCAACTATGAGAGACAAAATGAGAAAAAAAAATCCAGAAAATCACATTGTAGGATTTTTAAAGAATTTATTTGCAAATTATGGTGGAAAACAAGTATTTGGTCAATAACAAAATTTCATCTCAATACTTTGTTATATACACTTTGTTGGCAATGACAGAGGTCAAACATTTTCTGTAAGTCTTCACAAGGTTTTCACACACGGTTGCTGGTATTTTGGCCCATTCCTCCATCCAGATCTCCTCTAGAGCAGTTGGACCTCAACTAGAGTGACCATCAGGTTCTTGGTCACCACACCAACCAAAGCCCTTCTCCATCAGTTGCTCAGTTTGGACAGGAGGCCAGCTCTAGGAAGAGTCCTGGTTGTTTCAAACATCTTCCATTAAGGGTAACAGAGACTACATGCTTCTGTGACCCTTCAGTGAAGCATAATTTTTTCCTGAACTCTTCCCCAGATGTGTGGCTTGACGCAATCCTGTCTCTGAGCTCTACAGGCAGTTCTTTTGACCTCAGGGCTTGGTTTTTGCTTTCATATGCATTATCAGCTGTTAGACCTTTTATTAAGATGTGTGTGCCTTTCCAGATCATACCTATTCAATTGAATTTGCCACAGGTTAACTTCACTCGAAGTGTAGTGACACCTACAAGCAATATGAATGCTCCTGAGCTAAATTTTAACTGTCCCAGATAAGGGTATGAATACTTACGCAATGGAATCATTTAAGTTTTTTATTTTTAATAAATTTGCCAAGATGTTAAAAACCTGTTTTTTGCTCTATCATTATGGTGTATGGAGTATAGATTGATGTGGGAAAAAAGTAATTTAAAGCAGTTTAGCATAAGGCAGCAATATAAGAAAACGTGAAAAAAACGTGAATACTTTCGCAAGGCACTGTAAGGGCATTTCCCTATGCAGGTTTTGTGTCAGGTTCAAGTTTTTCATGCACATTGGCGGTGTTGACCAACAGAAAGTTTGGTTTGAAGTTGCTTAGTTTGAACTGTTCGATATATTTATACTATTATACTACTCATTATTCATTTTTGTCTTCGGTCTAGGAACGTTCAATATATCTGTAAAATACTGGGCCATGTTATGGAACGATATTAGAGATTTTTTATTTATTTATTTGCCAAAATTGGATATATACCAGTTAGTGTTGGCTATTTAATTGTACATGGTCACTTCCATTTCATTTTTTTTTTAAGATTACCCTTTCCATCATCTAAAACGCTGTTAAATGTAATCTTTAGCAAATCTCAAAATGAATATCCATTTTACACTGTAATGTTGTAATGCTTAAATATACTTGTAGCATTAAAAACTTTTTTTTTTTTTAGGGCTTTATTTAGACAAAATAGTAAAGAACATATATCAAATATAATCTTGGCCATTTATTAGTTAACAGCCATAACATTTAAATAGCTTATTGACTTTTGTAATATAATTTAAATATAGAATATTAATATAAAATAATTACTTTTTATTTTTACTTTTACCATATTGCTTTTTATACCACTTAATAATGACAATAAAACATGATGGGACATGCATCACACTTATTTTTTATTTTTTTACCACAATTAAGGAAGTTTTAGAAACTTTGAATCACTGTAACACACAACCTCTCATGGCTTAGTGTTTTAATATAAAAGTAATATGATTCTAGGTACTTCACATTGTGCCTAAAATGCCACTGCAACACTTTAATGAACAGAGGACAAAGATTAATTCGAGTGTCAAACATCAGCAGGATCTTCATATAGTGTCCACTGGTCCATTTCTTGCATACACAATCTGGAGGGTCATAAAGTTTTTTTAAATGATGCCATCAACATGAGACACAAAGTTCTCTTTTTAAGCCCAGATTCATGAATCAGGTCTGTTGTGGGCAGCATGAGCCATATAAAGCGAGACAGGACGTAATTAACAGCATGAGTGGACAGAGAAGACATTGATGCAGTAGGCGAGACAGTTGTGCCCTGTGCTGTGGACAGCAGGTGTCCAAAGACGCTTAGTCACATGCCAGCATTTTACGGGGGTGTGTGATGAGGACAGGCGTGGAAATGGCCAGACAGCGCTGCTCTGCCAAGACCCACACACAAACTCATGCTTACTTTCAATGCTTCTGCTTTCTCCCCTGTCTTCTATAATATAACACCTTGCTTAAAGTGCCGCTACATGTCCAAAAGAGTCACAAAGTTCACTGGTTCACCTGAAAAATTACTCAACTGAACTTGAAAGAAAAAGCTGGTTAGTAAATTCGGACACTCATAAAAGAGAGTATGTTTCAAAAGCCGTAGGAACAACATAAAACAGTAACAATTCTTGGTTTAGAAGCAATGATGAAAGTAGTAACTAGCAATTTAGTAGCTGCTGCTTTAATGAAGTGATTCATTAAAGAGAACAGGCTTAGTACCAGTTCATTAGAAGAAGAATCAATCATTTGAGAATCTGACTACACTGGTCTCACTGTTTCTGATTCACTAAAATAAATGTCTGATTCACTAAAGTCCTAAGAGTCATTTGTTTGAGAATTGGACTACATTGGCTGCACTATGCTTTTGATTCATTAACAAGAACTGGCACATGCATGCCACTTCATTGGTGGAACAATCTTTCACTCAGGAATCCAATTACACTGGTTGCATTGTACTGTCTGTTTCTGATTTATTCAAAAGAATCAGCTCATAAGATTCATTTATTCGAGAATCAGACTACACTGGTTGCACTGTATGTTACTGAATCACTAAAAAAAGAACCGGCTCATAAGAGTCATTTGGGAATCAGATCACACTGGTTGCACTGTACAGTGTGCATTAGATTGGCTCAAAAGTACAGATTCAGAATCATTCACTCTACACCAGCTGTGCTGCTTCACTAAAATGAATTATAAGCCATTTGCACTACACCAGTCAAACTGTATAATTTTGATTCATTTAAATGAACCGGTTCATATGAATCAATTCTTTGGGAATCGGATTAAAAAAAAATCAGCTCATGAGAGCCATTCATTGTTCTCATTGTTCTCATAAATGGTAAGTAACCAATTCCAATAATCTTTGTTTCATTTATAACTTTGAAAAATCGATTTTAACACTATGTCACACAATGTTAGAAGAGATGCTGAATGCTCTGAGCATCAGCTGTGCAAAGCCAAATCATTAATGAACAACAACAAAACAAAACAAAAATAAATAATTTGCTCTGTCTAATCTGTAAATGCACAGGCTGCTGTAAATGTGCACACAGATGTGGACAGGTAATCATGTTTACAGAATAAGCTCTATTTTGTGTTCTTTTTCAGTCTCGGGCCATTTCCTGCCATGTGATGAATTTGAGTGAAAATCCGCACTATGTGATTTTATTAATGAGCCTAACCATAGGGTAACCATGGTAATAAAGTCCAAATAGGAGACATATAAACAATAGAGACTATTCCTGTGAAATGAGAGAAAGATAATAAGGAAGTAATGTGCGCTATTAATGTGCACGTTTGTGATGGAGGCGATATGAAAGGGGAAAGGTGGCCACAAATTGTGTTTTGCAAATGAGAGCTCAAAGATCGAACTGTCAGAGGTTATAATTTCACAAACTTCAAAATACTGTTAAAGTAATGAGCCATAACATTTTGCATCATTCGCATCTACATCCCCTTAACGGTGGTAAAATAATAATAATAATAGTAACACATAGCCTTCCAGAGCTTCTTGCTTTTACAAAACAGCAGCAAGAGCAGAATAATAAAAGACACCAAATGTTCAATAATTAATTACAATTATTAGTAATGATAATAGATTTTTATTATTAATCTTGTGCATTACATGAATGCCACTACAGATAATGTAATAAAAATAATGATTGAAAAATTTATGAATTAGTTCTTTCACCAAGTAATATTGTTCATTAGACAACTTGAAGACTGTTCACAGTTCACATAACTGATCTACAATTGAGAACTGAATTGCTCATGATGTCATAAAAGTTTGAAACCGCCACGCCACCACATTGGTATTCCCTAGTATTCCCTTACATTCTATTGAATTAACAAGAAATGGATTGATTTTAATGAGAAAACATCACCTAACGAGTCAGTGTTTTTATATCTGAAGTTTCCTGTACATTCTTACAACACGAGCATATAAACAGTTATTTGCTTAATGCCGGGAATTTCCTCTGCATATTAAAAAGTTACGTATCATATTCATTATACTGTACAATAGCGAACATCAGATGAACATGACGAACATCAGACAGATGAGATTCTCAACATGTGTATTACAAAGGACAAAGTGCTCATTTGTGTTACTTGTGTTGGCAAGTGCGCAGCAGACACACCAATATTAACGATTTCAATATATGGTTTATCCTGCCATAAACATTTCAGATAAGATCTGAAGTAACAATGAATTTACATATATATATCTTAAAAACTAATCTTGTGACTGATACACTTCAAATCGGGTGATTTTAGGTCAAGGTTTTAGCTGTCAGTCAATGATGCCCTCTGCAGATAGGGAATAATAATATGGCCACTTGAACACTTTCGGTGGCTTCACCGCCTAGTTTTAATTTTTTGAAATGAAGAGTTACAGAAATTACTATATTCTTGATTACATTAAAAAAACAGGTAATATTCTAGTACTTGATATGTCCTCCATAACTTTAAGTATACTGCTCTGACCTTTCATTGCATTTGAGTGTACAAGTTCATGGCAAAAAATGTTGTCACATCTATTCTGTTTAACTCACGGAGGATGACCTTGAATGCCCTGATTTTTAGGCGAGTGTCTCTACAAAATCCCCCATAGGTGCTCAAAAATGATAAGGTTGGGTGAAACACTTATACACTGAAGAATTTTCACCTTGGGAGAATGTACTGCATATAGTCACTGTTTTGTTGAAAAATCAACAATGCAGGGAATGAGGAGAGGGTAGCATCTTCTGTTCAAGTTTTTCTATTACATCACACAATGGTGTGTGAATTCATGACTCCACTGATAAAGCACAACTCCCCCCACATCTTCAGCAATCATACATCCCTATATAAAATCTTCATGACCACCAAACTTCCCCGTGGGAACCAGGCAGCTCTCATTGTACTCTTCCCCTAGCAAGCCCATACCATTTTAGATGCTGTTAGATCCAAAATGATTGACTTGGTCACATGAGACCAGAGTATGGATTCCTCTATATTCTATATTTTGTAAATTTATATTTTTTTATAAATGTTGGCCTTAGGAAAAGCTAAATGAGTTTATTATGCTTTGACTACAGAAGGTATCTCTCCGTTGTGGACAACAGTGAGATGAAACAGCCATTCGTTTCATTGCTTTCGCCAGCTCTGAGACACTTGCTTGGTAATTCTCCTGCTCTTTTCTTAAAAAAAAAATCTTAAAATGAAAACTTAAAGTGAATGCCTGATTATTTCAGGGGCCTTGACACAAGTCCATTGTTTCTGAAATTCTGTTAATTTGGCCATATTTTCACATGTAAAACCATGATTTGTTATTCCTCTCGTACCACTGTCCTCTTTTGTGCAAAGCAATACATTTCCTGACAGTTCTCTCCCAAGTGGTTCCATTGTTGTTCCATTATGTCTGAGAATGATTCAGTGGCTTTAGAATGCCTACCTACAGATCAAAAATTGCTTTAAACTTACACCAGAAAAATTGCATTTAATTTAGTAAACTTCAGGATTTTTGCAACACAGTATTTTATCACTTTGATAAGAAAATCTTGTTTTCCTGAATCATTTTGACATGCTTCTTCTGTAATTAATCAAGCATACTTGCTGGAATATTATATTTTCTAATTTTCTAATTAAAGAGTAACTGCTGAATTTAAGTTTCAGAGTGTGTGTACAAAATCTATTTTAATAGGACAACAGATATGATAGATATCTATATAGCACAAACAAATATTCTAACTAATCATTATCTTTTATTGTGCAAAACTATCGAAGTATGAAAGGCTTCCAATATGGAATTGCACAAACATGTTTATGTGCAGAATGATTTAAAGCTTTCAAGCAAAATCTCTACACACTAATCAATGAGATATCGAGATATTATATCTGGGGAAGTTTATTCAGAATCACAAATAAACTTCAATAAAATACAGTCCTTTCAAACAAAAGGACATACATTTATATTCAGATTATACATAATAATGGGAAACCTGGAACATCATGGGAAGACCCCCAAGTACACCGTCATAACAGAAATCAACATGCTGTTTGAATGCTGAATGGAGAATGATGTGACAACTGCAGTGGAGTGAAGAGTTTCCAGGAACATAAATTTGACACCTCAAATAAAGCTATTTCGATATATATATATATAATATTATAATATTATATATAATGTTAAGCGATAGCGTTAAAAAGGAAAATAGCAGAATCAATAATGGAAATACAACTAGGGGTGCTCTGATTGATCGGCTACCAATCGCGATTGGCCGATAATCGCTTCGGGAAGTTTGATCGGCGGTGTCTATAAAAGCCAATCTCATAAACCGATCTCAAGCTGACGACGCACCTACTGTGAGAGGTTTGGCATGACATGCAGCAGTAACATCTCAATCTCTGTCCGATGCGGGTAAAATAATTATAAAGCTGAAGGAGTGGTACAATTCATATTTTTTTATTAAATAACAAGCTACATGCTGCACAGTTGACACAGGAATTGTCACTTGCACAATAAAAGCAGTGTCGAATCATCACTAAACTGCATTTCTTTTTAAGTCTTGCCAGTTTTTAAGCCATTCAGCACTCGTGCGCTCTCCTAGAGACAGTGCGCTCATGCACACTCAAAGCTCACACACAAGGCCGCCTTACATACAGCTCACAAAATCAGGCTTGTGCTGTGTGTAAGCTATCGGGCAGCAATTGCCCCATTGTAAAAACAAAAATGCACTGCATGATCAAACGTTTAGGTGAGATAATTATATATTTATCAAAAATTAACCCTCCTGTTAGGAAACAGGAAAAATAGTGTGTCAAGAATAGTGGCAAACAAAATTAAACTCTGCCGTAAAGCAGCTCTAAAAAGAGGATAATAGTAAACAGTCAATTTTTTCAGTTAAAGTCAGTTCATCGTTGATTCAGGGATGTCAATGATGCCAAAAATTAAGTGCATCCCTAACATTCCTTTCTATTCAAGAAAAGCTGATCCTTACCTAAATCCTAAGTGGTTTTCACATCTGTTCTCACCTGCTCTGTGGTGTGCTGCTGGACACAGCTGTAGATGTGACTAAGCCCAGCTCTAGTCAGCACGAAAGATGCCTGCTCATTGATTAGAGTGTCCAAGTGAGCCTCAATCTAAAGTAATTGGCCAATAAAAATAAATACAAAATGTATCACATTTTAACTCAGTTTGACTCATCACAATTTTAACTTAAATAAATTATCTTATAATTTGTCATTTTATAATGTAACAGACCTGAAACTCCAACATTTCTAAGCGTTTGTCTGTGAACTCAAAGAGTGCCAGTGTGGTCTTCATCATGTATAGGGAGTTCACCATGTAGGTGGCCATATCTGCTGTACCCAGGTTACTGGCTGATACCGTGCACAGCTGCAGCAACGGGTCAAGGATGCAGGACAATACCTGAGAAACAGCATTGATGATGATGGGATTAAAAAAAAAGGACACAACTAAACAAAACAAAACAAAACTGCTGCATAAGTAAAGTACTCCATGCCTATCTGGATATTGCACATGCATAAACATAAATACAAATATATTACGACAACGATGATTATGATTAATTTCTTGCATGAAACACTAAAAAAGTGCATTTAACATCCATTTAAGAAATGTAGAATAAATAAATATAAAATAATAAATATAATAAAAACAAAAGAAAACAAAAACAGCGAGTATTTCTTCTTGACACTTTCTAAATTTCAGCCACATTTCAGTCACTAAGAGGTGGAAACGATCTGGATTTTGCCACAAAACATAAAAAGAAAAGTCACCTGTGCAAAGTCAGCCTGACGGGCATCAAGAGGCAGAACTGATGAATCATGGGAGGCCAAAACCTCTCTAAGGAGAGACAGAGTCTGAGTGAGGGAGGCAGTGGGACCCAGATCAGGAGGTGGAAGCTCTACCTGAGAAAACAAGAACTTTTAACAATCTTTAACAAAAAAAACAAGTTATAAATATTGTGTATAAATTTCACAGGAAAACTTTAAAAAAAAAAAAGTTCATTGTGAGATGTACTAATATCACTGTGTATAAACTGCATTTTAAATTGTCTTTTTATATATATATATATATATATATATATATATATATATATATATATATATATATATATATATACATATATATACACACAACAGAACAAAAACACAGATAATAAAAAATAGAAAAATAGAACAAGTAACTAAGGAATAAAAATATACAAATCGACAATTGTATGTACAGGTATATAACAATAGACAGTTGTATATACAGGTATATTATGTGCATATATACACATTCAGACAAAAAAAAAGAGCATCGTGTCATTGACTCTCTGACAAAACATTTTTAGCTCCGTCCATTCAGACATTTAAGAGCAGTATTTACTGTTCTAACTCATGTTCAAGACCCTCAAAATCAAGCCAGGCGTGTCTGACAGCGAGACTGACACCTCTGAAGCCTGACTAATAAACATCCTGCTAGGCGAACACTACATAGAGCTCTGCTGCCTCTAATATAGCTTATTAGCTCAGGCTTGTGTTCCTGGCACTGAGCAACATCAGGGAGCGATACGTAACGTCCTAAGCCTGAGGTGATTTGATTAGTGTGCTGCTAAAGCGATAATTCTCTCAGAAGTGTAGAGCGGAGGCCATCTTGTTCTGGCTATTGATCCACTTATCAATGAAGTGCTGTTTGTGTGTGTGTGTGTGTGTTTAAGGATATTTTGGGGATAATTTAGAATGCCTAGTGCGAGAATGCATTTTTTCAGCCTGGTGAAAACCAAATCCAACTCATGAATGACCATGAGGCACATCACTATATAGGTATAGGGATGGGACGCTGTGTTAGAGTGCCCCAATGCTAAGGTGTTCTGGGTTGTTTTTAGGCAGTTTCTAAAGTGTTATCATTGGCTGGTAAGGCATTGTTTACAGGTTTACTGGCATAAGAAAAATTTGAATTTATACACCTTTTCAGATTTGTGGCAACATTAAAACAAAAGGAGAGTTTTGATAAAACTTGGGATGTGTTATTTAAGTATGGTTTAAATACTATAAATATTATTATATTATAAATATTTTGAATAATGTTTTTATATTTTCAGAATATTTTAATTTTCTCAGTTTTCCTTTCAATTTAAGTAATTTTGTTATGTGCTTTTGTATCAGTTTTTTTTTTTAAATTATTTCTATATGGGTTTAATTTATTTTTATTTAAATTTTTAGTGATTTTAGAACTTATTTCAGTTAGTTGCCAAGACAACCTTTCTAATTTTTATTTTTTTTTTACTTTAAGTTTATATCATCTTTATTTCAATTACCCAAAAGTTCTAGTTTTATTTAACAATAACAACACTGATAATTACTTACTTTATCCATAAGGCGACTGGCATGGAGACTAAGACTGTTGAAGAACATCTTCTTACTGAGCATGTGCATCTCATCAATGGTCATCAACAGAGAGGAAACGCTGGTACCCATGATGCCACTAAGAGGGAGACTTATACATTCAGAATAACTGGAGCATCTTGCAATATTAAAGGCTATACCTAAAAAATGGATCTATATTTTTGGATCTCTGCTCTTCAGTAAAAGAAGGATTTGTCTCCCATCAAATGTAGTATGAAATTAAGACAATAAACCCAATAAAGCCATTTACAGAGATGTGTGTACCTGATGGTGTGATGGTAGAACTTGAGAAGGTTGGAGAGTTTATACAGAAGAACAGCACCTGGCTCTGCAATGATCACCTGCTCAATTCGCACCTAGTGGAGGAATAAAATAAAACAAAACAAAAAAGAAAGAAAATAAATAAACAATTCTGTTGTCATTATTCACTGTTGCTTAAGTCAGTAAAAAGTTTGTAGTAACACTTTACAATAAGGTCTCGTTTGTTAACATCAGTAATGCATTAACTAACAAGAACTAACAATGAACACAATATTTTTACAGCATTTATTTTTATATTTTATAGTTTGAATGTTAGTTAATAAAAATGTTAATGCTCACGTTAATTCATAGTATGTACATTAACTGATGTTAACACATACAACTTTAGTAATTCTAATATGTATTAGTAAGTTTTGAAATTAATATTAACTAACATTAATAAATGCTATATAATTATTGTTCATGTTAACTAAAATTGTTAATTAATGTTAACAAATGAAGCCTTATTGTAAAGCGCTACCGAGTTTGTTAAAATATTAATCATTCAAATATGATACTACATAGTCCCAAGGAAAGCACAAATGTTGATTAATTAAAAAAATCATCAAGGAGTTTATGGGATTGAGAAGAGTTTATAGGACTTGAACTTGGGCCACCCATTTGAGCACTATTGAGCACAACTATTAACCAACTAGTCCACAGCTCCAGCCCAGGCTGATATTTTTGATAAAAGTTTAAATATTAGTCTTAATGACACTGTTTCCATCTCACCTTGAGTGGTCTGCACACTCCTTCAGTGATGTGGCCAACTACTTCCTGCATGTTTTCTTCAACCCCTGCACAAACACAGCAGAATGATTTATCTACTACTCAACTACGTTCAGAGAAACAAGTGTGGTTAACATTAGTAACATTTCAGCTAATAAAAGGTCCACTGTCCATTGTCAATTGTGTAGAGATGTATGAAGCACAGCTCACACAGAAATCACTTTCAAAACCAAAGCAACTTTATGATGGGTAGTCAGGGAATCTGCAAGATGAACTTGAACAATAGCAGAAACTGCATAGCAAACCTGTCAGCCTCATGTGAAACTCCCAACAATTTTACAATTACTACAATTACTATCGCTTGGCAAAATTTTACATTCAAAATCAAGCTGTTTCAATAAGTATCCAAACAATCAGGAATTTTGTGTGAGGATGAAGGATTTTCTTACCCATATTTTACAAAGGGTTCAAGTTTGTCATGCAAATTCTGACATACAGAAATCGGTTTGGTTGGAAAGTGACTTCTGTGAGTTGAGCTTCATTCATTGCATTCATTTTTTGCAGTGCAGTTTTGCTATTGTGATCACACCTAAACAGTAGACCTCCTTGAGGCAAGACATCAGCAACTCTACAATGGGTGAATGCATCCCACTTGGTTTTTAACAGAAATTAGGTAAAAACTGACTTTGGATGAGTGAAATCATTTTCACTTAAACTTAAATAACATGTACAATATACACAAATATGTAACAAATTTAATACAATCAATTGACACATAATATCTATAACCTTTAGATGGACAGAAAAATTAAGTAATACAGAAATGGGGCACTAGACAAATGTGAAACGTCCAAACGTATACATATTTTTTCATATTGAAAGCAAACTAGTTATGAACCAGTAAATCTCACAGTTTTTTTTTATGAGATTTAGATGAGATTTGATATTTATGAGATTTAGGTGGAACGACATGTACCTTGCACAGCAACTTGCTTGAGCAAGGCTTCCAGGTGCTCCTTCTCCGAGGCTGTGGCTTGATGGAGCCAGGCCAACATGTCCCCAACATACCTGGTTGGATGATTGTATGTATAAGAATAAATAAAGAAAAATAAAGACATAAAGATAAAATAAAGACACAATATTACCTTAACCCTATAAAGCCTTCTATATCATAATTGATACACAAATTTCTAAGGCCTCTAAATTTGCTATTCCAGACGGTTGTTAAAATTATACTCCCAACTCTTGTTTAATCAAATACAAAGCCATTTTTATCTGCATAATTTCCAATGAGAAATAGCACCGATACTGAACAAGGATGAAACTTTCTAGTGCACGTGTTGAGAGCCTGTGCATTAAATGACATATACTTTGAGCATATAATAGTGATGGAATCATCATTAAAAAAACAGCTTGGTCCAGAATTGCACAGTTGGGAACTGGATGGCTAGATGAATAATTAAATTTTTACAGAAGAGTGTTTCTTCTCGATTTGTAGTTACATCTAATAGAGTTATAGATTTCCTGAGATTTGAGGCCATCACACAGTCAGCTATCATTACATTGGCTCAATATCCTTTAATACCGGACAGCAGGGGGAGGTGCTGTTCTGAGAACCACCGCTTCCCACTTTTATCGACATTCTGCCAGGAGCCCCATGTTCTCTCCTCAGGTTCCAAATGGGATGGGGGAAGAGGGTGTTTGAAAGCTTGATGGGGTGCTGGTCTAGACAGCATGTGACAATCCATAGATCTCAACAGCTGACCTTTCGCTGAACCCGCACTAAGTAATTCTCTGAAAGAGGAAGCACTTCCCTGAAAGAATCAGGTTGGGTTTAATGTGCTTAGACGCTGAATTGGATTTGCAGCTTCAAGAGATGCGGCACATAGAGGAGCATGGCGGCTCTGCTTGTGAGGATGTTAATCAGAGAGGCTTTTAGTTGCTAACAACGGCATGACCCTCCAAATGACCCCCAATTATAGCTGGTTTGAAGAGATTATTTTTAGCGCGCAGAAGAGAAAATGTCATCCATTGTGTTTCCGCAAGCTTTTGAATGGAATGATTGGGTGGGAGGGTTGGGATGTGCACTTGTTGTAGACTCTACCTCATCGGATCATGAGAGTGCATCTCTATGGGTCTCGGGGTGCCACCCGGTCCTCCACGGGTCAGGGCGTCGATAAAGCCTCGGACCACGGCAGACCGCCGAGCCGTTCCAAACTCATCCAGTGTGTACCTGAGAGAATGAAAACAAAGAGTGAGAATTAAATATGAATTCAAGAAATCATGGTTTGTCTGACTAATGAGCTAACGGGACCATGCTAACCAATGTAAATAGACGCTCTGCAAGCAAAAAGGATCTTTCTCCATTGACAGCCATTCAAAATATTTTTTCAAAGCCACGTACAATACATATTGCTATTTTACTTATGTAGTGTAAATGACTTACCAGTGCCTGATAAGTAAATTAAATAGGTAATAATGTAAAAATTTTCCTCTCTTCTTTGCGATTTTTTTTTTTTTTTTTAGCAAATAAATGCAGTCTGGGTCAGCAAAACACATTTCTTAAAAACAAAACAAAACAAAACAAAAATATTAGTTTATTATTTATAATTAATATATCCAGGTTTTCCTGCTTTTTATTCATATTCCTAGTCCTAGCTTATTTTAATGCTAGTTTAGTCTTTGTTAAGTCATCTTAAGCCACCTGGTTGAAAACCAGTTCTGTGGGTTATGTGGTCTCATAAGCAAAGATTGCAAGATTTCAGATCTGCAGAACTCCTTGGATGAATTTAGAGATGCAACAACTCTGAACACAGTAGCTCATGCATATAATCATAATCCTCCTAAAATTTTACAGTCCTTAAAACCAACTAGTCGGGAAGACTGGCTGATTTAAAAAAATATATATGTCGTTTTGTACATCTTTGGTATAAACAAGATTAAACGCCTGGGCCATGAAACAAAACAGACACTGCAAGACCTTCGGAACAGCCACTGAAATCAGCAAGAGAAAAATACTTTAGGTTAGAGAGACCCAGGGTCACACATACAGACAAAAACAACGGAGGGCCCCGTTCACAGTTAGGAAACGTGGCTGTGTTTTGATCTACGGGCTGAGAATGGCCCTGTGCAGACTAAACAGTAGTGACCGCAGCAGCCAGAGAAAAAGGGAGGAGAGGAGGGATGTTGTAGTTTGGCAAGGATTCCAGGAACTCTGGGGGCCCCGTCCTCTCACTCTTTCTCCTCCGGCCTTGGACTCCCTTAGATAAAAATGGGGAGTGAGAGCACGGGACAAAAGAGAGGGGCACACAGACACAAAGAGAGAGTGGACAAGAAAACTTAAAAGTGTGTGAGAAAAACTCTGAGCCCAGCGATAGAGCTGCTCGTATGCGGTCTCCTGTAACACAGCCATCTGCTCCATGATCTCCAGCCTGCAGTAAAGCACAGACATCACTGAACATCTACACGTGAAAAGTCAGCAAGAACCAAGATTGTTAATTTTTATATTTTCTTGTATTTTTTTAAATAAAGTATATTTCTAATCTATTCTGCTCTATTTAATTTTATTCTACTGTATTCTATTCTCTCTCTCACCCTGCTGTTTGCTGGTTAGTCCTCAATAGGACCTTCACATCTTCATGGATGTTCTTCACATGGTTCAGCGCTCTGAAGAAGTCCTGCACAGTACACACACAGTTCACGCAACTATTAAGAGATGATTCTGTTTTAATTTATTTTTCAATTACCCAGCAGGAGATGATTTCATCTGAAAGTTTTATCGGAGTCATGTATAACTTTTTAAAAAATTGGAATATCGAGCTGCTAATTTTTTTAAATGGGTAGTTAAAAAAATCAACTGAATAATATTTTATACTTTTTTATACCTTATATAAATTATATTTTATACTTTTTTATTACATTTATAATTTGCCAGTCAATCTCATGGTTCATTCATGTGCTTTGGTTCTCACATGACATTTTATGGGCAATGACAAGCAGTTTTTTTGTAGGATAACATGAGGTTACCTCAGTGATGGGACCATCTCGTGCGGAGCATAATGTTGCCATCTCAGTGGTGGACAACTGGAACTTTGACAGGAATGCCTGGGCCACCTGAGCTCGAACCTCCAACTGATGACTAAAGAGAGAAGGCAATGCATACATATACAGTGGGGCAAAAAAGTATTTAGTCAGCCACCATTGACTCACGAGGGATAAGGATGCGCTCTCACTGTTTGCATTCGCGGAACTACTAGAGCAGAGGTCTGTACTCGAGCTTTTGTCAGCGTTTGCACGAGCGCGTTCGTCTCTCGAGGGAGTTGAACAAGCTTAATGCGATGCATTCGCGCCGGTTTCTGTTCTTGCCTGATTCTTGAGAGAATTTAGTGTTTGAACAGAGTGTGTTTGGCTCTCGACAGAGATTAGCCACACTGCGAGATGTGATCGCGTTGAGAATGCCTGTATGCCTGCTTCTCTTAGAGAACTGAGGCCCTTTCACCCGCGTTTCGGGTCTCACGGTTGCTGAGGCAGTTAATCAGACCGATCACGGGGATTGTAGGCGGGGCATGGAAGAAATCTGATGAGGAGTGCATTCTCTTTCAGAATTCCATTTTGGGTTTATTTTATTTTACAGAATAGGAACTGTGTATAATGTGAGATATCTACATTATTGGTGAAGGAGGCTCCTGACTTGGTGTAATGGCAAGTTTTTGAGTTGTTAGGCTCTTGTTTGAGCCTCCTCATCCTCTCAGCCCAGGTATGTGAATATTTAGGTTGAGCATGGTTTCTGCTCCTCTCTGCTCCTCACTCTGCTCCCCAGTATTTTTATTTTTGCAGTTATTTCAGGGTTTTGAGGCTCTCTGTGAGCCTCCCTGATCAGCTGTTCATGAGCCTGGTAGCTCCCCCTCCCTTTGAGGGTCGCTATGCTGAGATCACAGTTCCTAGTGTTCTTTCAACAGAGCTGTGGCTGTTTTAGGTTGTTAGGCTCTTGTGGGCCTCCTTGATAAGTCGCTCTTAGGTCGAGCTTTTGAGTACTCCCCTAACTTGAGGTCTTCGTACTGAGTACGCTGATCCATAAGGGTGGGTGGTTGCACTCCCCTTGCTTTAAAGGGTTGGTATGTTGAGTGCTTGCTCCCTAGAGCTCTGTTCGGCACTTAGGAGCATGGTCAGTACTCCTAGCTTAGTACTCCAGCTTTGAGTTGTTAGGCAGTGTACTCCGCTCCCTTAGAGCTCTGCTTAGACAGTACTATTATCATGTAGGCTTTATCGTGAGCCTCACTAACAGTGTCTAGCGTTGAGTGTGGTCAGGTCTCCTCTCGTTTTAGAGAGTCGTTATGCGGAGACCTCCACTCTTAAGAGCTCCTCAACTAGGGTTGAGCGTTGTTAGGCTCCTCTCGTTTAAGGGAGTCATCCTGCTGAAGCCTCTGCTCTCCAGAGCACCGCTTAGGCAGAAATATGGGTTCGTAGGCTCTCCCCTTTTGAGCCTCACTAACTGCCTCTGGCGTTGAGTGTAGTCAGGTCTCCTCTCGTTTTAGAGAGTCGTTATGCGGAGACCTCCACTCTTAAGAGCTCCTCAACTAGGGTTGAGCGTTGTTAGGCTCCTCTCGTTTAAGGGAGTCATCCTGCTGAAGCCTCTGCTCTCCAGAGCACCACTTAGGCAGAAATATGGGTTCGTAGGCTCTCCCCTTTTGAGCCTCACTAACTGCCTCTGGCGTTGAGTGTAGCTAGGTCTCCTCTCGCTTTAGAGTCGTTATACTGAGACCTCCACTCTTAAGAGCTCCTCAACTAGGGTTGAGTGTTGTTAGGCTCCTCTCGTTTAGAAGAGTCATCCTGCTGAAGCCTATTCTCTTTAGAACTCCATCTTTGGCAGTAATATGAGTTTGTAGGCTCTTCCTTTTTTGAGCCTCACTAACTGCCTCTGGCATTGAGTGTAGCTAGGTCTCCTCTCACTTTAGGGAGTCGTTATGCTGAGACCTCCACTCTTAAGAGTTCCCCTACCAGGATCGAGTGTCGTTAGGCTTCATCTCGTTTAAGAGAGTCATCCTGCTGAAGCCTCCGCTCTTTAGAGCTCCGTCTTTGGCAGTAATATGAGTTTGTAGGCATTTTCTTTTTGAGCCTCACTAACTGCCTCTGGTGTTGAGTGTAGCTAGATCTCCTCTCGCTTTAGAGAGTCGTTATGCTGAGACCTTCACTCTTAAGAGATCCTCAACTATGGTTGAATGTTGTTAGGCTTCCTCTCGTTTAAAAGAGTCATTCTGCTGAAGCCTCCACTTTGCATAGCTCCGCTTAGGCAGTATTAATGTGTAGACTCTTGAGCCTCACTACCTGCCCCTGGCGTTGAGTGTAGCCAGGTCTCCTCTCATTCTAGAGAGTCGTTATGCTGAGACCTCCACTCTGGTAGGTGAGCTAGTCTACGACGCTGGCAAGTTTTGAGCCTGCATGTAGAGGTTTGTGGCTCGGGTCCTGGCAAAAGCGATTTGGCTGGGGCAGGGATGGTGTTCCTTGAGTCCTTGAGCATGACGGCGTGGGTAGACCGTTCCCCTAGCATCCTCTAGAGGACACAGCATGGAGTTCCCTTTCGAAAGGGAACGTCTCAGGTTGCGCACGTAACCATGGTTCTCTGAGAACAGGGAACGAGACGCTGCGTCTCATTGCCATGCTTCAGGCATTCCTGCCTGCGTCTCCTTCAGACAAAGAAATGGATGACGTTTTCCGCAGGTGCTCTTTTATACCCGCTCTCACTTTATTGTTTCCGTCATAGGCTGCCGCCTGCCAATGTCAAGTTCATTGTCGTTTTTGCATTCATCTTTCAGACACCGGTCACACTGAAGGAGTTCCCCTAGCGCCCTCTAGAGGACGCAGCGTCTCGTTCCCTGTTCTCAGGGAACCATGGTTACATGCGTAACCTGAGATGTTTTTTGAGTGAATGGCGGACTTCGTGGGGAGTGCAATACTTTTTGCAACCAAATGCAAAACTTTTGCTAAAGAAATCAAATGTTTTGTGAGTGAATGCATAAGTTTTATGAGCAAATCGTCTCAGGTTAAGTATGTAACCCTGGTTTCTCGAGGGAATGAGACGCTGCGTCGGAAAACGCTAGAGGAACGCCTTCTGTGACCACGCTCTGAATCACATGTGAAATCAGTCTAATAGCTGAGCAGGACGTCACGGGCGGGTGACACTAGGGCGAGAGAACAGAAGACCCAGGAGTAGCTCGCATGTCTAGACCGTAGGAAACCTAATAAAGGTAAGGGGCGTGGACCACCCCGCAGCGTTGTAGATGTCCTGCACAGGCACACCCGCTAAAAAAGCCTTAGAGGCTGCCACACTTCGAGTCGAGTGAGCCTTGACCCCTAACGGCGAGGGGAGATCAGAGGACTCATAACAGATGGAGATGGCATCCACTATCCACCGACTCTCTCAGCGAGAGGAGTCTGTCCTGGGACCACACAAGGATCTGGTGCGCTAACTTGTACAAGCGGCGCGAACGCAGACCTCCCTGGTGGTCGATGTAAGTGACCACCGCTGTGTTGTCGCCACGTTAGATGGCGACCACTCCACAGACTGCGGGCAAGGTGGCCACTCATAACCGCACCCCAGCCGATGAGGGACGCATCTGTCGCCAGTCGTCGAGGTAAATGAGAATACGGATTCCCATCTATCTCAGAGGGTAGAGAGCCGTATCCATGCACTTCGTAAAATTGCAGGGGGCCAGGGACAGCCCGAAGGGAAGGACCGTATATTGATAAGCCACTACCTCGAAGGCGAATCTCAAGAATCGCCTGTGACGGGGGCTATCTGGATGTGAAAGTATGCATCCTTCAGGTCCAGAGAAAAGAACCAGTCTCCCGAGCAAATTTGTGCAAGGATCTGTTTCGGTGTAATCATCCTGAACGACCTCTTCATGAGGGCGCGATTCAGGTGTCAGAGATCGAGGATGGGTCGGAGGCCACCATCTCTTTTGGGGACGAGGAAGTAACGGCTGTAAAAGTCTGATTTGCTTTTGTAGATTATTCACAGCTCCTTTTGCCAGCAAATTCATCCCCTCTGAGCGCAGGACGTGAGTGTCCTTGCTCTGCACTGAGGTGGGGACCACGCCGCTGAAGCGCACGGGTCTTCGAGCGAATTGGAGTGAATATCCTCGCTTTATTATCCCCATAACCCATATCGACACTCCGGGGATGGCTTGCCAGGCCTCTGCCCATGAGGCGAGGGGTTAAATTAACTCGGGTGCCTAGCCGCACAGGGGCAGAACACTTATGAGTAATGGAAGAGGAAGTGTACTCTCTTTTTGAAAATGTTTGTGTTTTATTTTTTCTGCTATCACAGCGGTTGAATGCTTGGGCACATGAACAGACGCGTTGTTCGCACAAAACACATTTCTCTCTGTACCCGGAGTTGCACGGGATGTCAAGAGGTGTAAGAGAGGCTGCTTGAGGGGCGGTCCGGCCGTAGCGAGATCTGACCCCGTCCGCTTCATCTCTCGCAGATCAGGATGACGCCTGAGGCGCCAGGTCCAATGCAATCTTGGGTCGGGGTCCCTGGCGCTTAGGAAGAGGGTAGCGTTTGACCGAGCGAGAGCATCCCCACGTATGCTGTACTTTAGCGGGCTAAATGGCGGGGGCGGCAGGTGCTGGTTTCGTTGGCTGTTGAGTCGGCGCAGACTTAGGGCGAGCGGAGGCAGCAGCGAAGCTGGAGTGCTTAGGCAGGAAATGTCGCATAGCCTGGGATGATTTCTGTGCCTCTGTGAAGCGCTCAACGAATCCTTCGACTGCCGGGCTGAAAAGGCCTTTGGGAGAGACTGGATCATCGAGGAAGGGGATCTTATCCACGTCCTTAATCTCTGTCAGCGTCAGCCACAAATGGCGCTCGAGCACCACAAGGTTGGCCATCGATCTCCTGATCGCCTGGGCGGTGGTCTTGGTGGTGCGCAGAGCCAGGTCGGTTGCGCTCCTCAGATCCCTGAAGGTAGCAGGGTCCAGGCCAGACTCATCGGAGGATGCGAGGATTTTGGCCTGGAAGACCTGGAGGACCACCACTGAATGAAGCGCCGAAGCCACCTGTCCAGCTGAAGACCATGTAGTGGTTCTGCACGGCTTGGACGGGTGAGCGGCCTTTGCTCTCCAGCCAATGGCCGTGGG